ACGTAAGGTTGTAATAACATTCCGCTTCCACCTTGTCTTCGATGTACTGTTTTACAAAAGGAAAGACTGTCCTCTCGAGGGCGACAGCGAGGCTACAGTAAACGCACTTTCATCGTAGAAATGCCTCGCGATCGATACCTTAAAGAACACGTTTGTGGAACGTAGCACCCAATGTACGTCATTCAGCTCCAGAAAAGAGCCTGCAAATGCTGGTAGTGAGCGTAAACAATTCACAGAAAATGCCTCTGAGGCACTTCAACCGATCATATTGATGCATGCGCAGACAAAATGCCCTCCTGTTCGTCCCTTATGTTTGGCTTAGTATGTTTCTTTGAGTTCCTTGCAAGTGTTTTTTTAATACTCTGCTTTATATCAATGATATTTCAGGTACGCAAGCATAATCGGTCAGCGTGCATCGTAGCAAAACAGATACGCTTTAACCATCAGGTGTCTTCTAAAACTCATCACGAGAAGTCTGTAGTAATAATGATGGGTCTTGTGATAGGAGTGTTTCTTGTTTTGCTATGGGATGTATCTGCGTTGTAGTTTTCTACTACTATTCCAGACTACGATAACGTCAACGCAATGCAGTGATAAAATCTGCAAAATCGCTGTCGTGGTTTTAAACTTGGCCATTAACCCGCTGGCCTCTGCCTTTTTGAAAAGAGCCTGAAAGAAAGAGTTGAAAAGACTTGTCGGCGCTGTGTTTAAAAGAAAATAACAAAGTTAACTATAAGCCGACCTGACTGTACACGGGTAACTCTTTCTTGTAGGATGTAGTAATTTTCAAGGAGGTCTAATAGCTCCTCTAGTGGGGCTAATTTAACTCCTTACAGTGGAGTTATTTTTTGGGGAGTTATTTTAACTCCAAAAAGGAGTTTAAAGAAAACTTTTTCAGGAGTAGAAGTGACCCCAGATATTGAAGGAGTTAAAATAACCCCAAAAAAGGAGGTATTTTGTACCTAAAAATTTTACTCCACTTTCAGAGTTAAATTAACTCCAAAAAGAGTAAAAACAACCCATGTAAGGAGTAAAAGTAACCCCATTTGGGAGTTATTTTAACTCCAGACTGGGAGTAAAAAGAACCCTTTTTCAGGAGTAAAAATGAGTTAAACTAGGAGTTAACATAACCCACAAAAAGGGGTTATCCTGTACCTAAAATTTTATACTCCATTTGTGGAGTTATAATAACTCCCTGAAATACGGTGTATGAAGGTGTGTGAAATGCTTGAGCTACGACTGATCAATCTGTGACACTTGGAATTAAAGCGAATTGAAATTTGGAAAAAGGGCGCATTAGGAGAGAAAACAAGAACCTTTGGACCCTCAAAGAATACAAAATACAAGGGAAAGGACTTAGGATCAAGGTTCACAGGTGGTGTGAGACGCAAGTTCTTAATTATTGGATGGAACTTTTTAGTTTTACATCATGACATAGAGTATAATTGTGTTTACATCCTGTTAGCAAAGCCCGCTTTGCTTCACTTGCTCGATTTTGGCGAACTCTACAGCAAGACTTTTCATCAATCGAGTAACAAAGATAGCAACATGTGCTGCTTGTTTCTTGGATACAGTTTCGATCCGAGCCTTCATAGCCGTGCGCTTTAGACAGCAGGCTCATCGGTTTTGACCATCGCTTTATCAATCTGAAATGGATGCTCGCATTCCGAATACCAGTTTGACGAGAGAAAACACGATTGACAAGTTCAGAGGTTCGAGGTTCGGTGACTTCAAAGGCCTGGCGCCAATTTCCTCCCCACTTAAGAGGACAAATTAGGCTGTTCGTGCAATAGTCTTTATAGTCAACTCTGTTAACGGCGTTAGATTCTGTTGTGAAGTATTTAGAAAGTTATTTTTAAGACGGATTTTTCTCATCTTTTAAGTTTAGTTTGTTTCATCATGTGGGTCAAGGTTAGTCTTGATTGTTGTCAGCGTAGGTGTTTTCCTGTTTTGTTCCTTCAGCTTCTTCTTGTACTTGAAATTATGCTTAGCTCGTGAATTTACTTATCGCCATTTTAGGATATTCATATACGCTTGTCGTCGTCAGATGGTAGTTTTTCATAGGTGGTCGTGTTTGTGGTGTTAGACTCGACTTTGGTTTACTAGTCTCGTTGAAGTTCCTGTGTTTGGGTTTGTTAACCAGAGTTTTAGTTTTTCAGTGGTTTGTACAGGTTTGTACCTTTTGCCGATTCCAACCATGTAGGTTCTGTCATACCAAAACATTACCCACACTGAGTTCACCGTAATTTTATTCCCACGGTCAGTTAACCCGAACATGTCCAGCTTTGGCTATAAAAACCGCTACTATGCTTGAACTAAGGAGTAGAAGTTGGTAGAAGAAAGTTTGTGAAAAAGTGGAAGAGTTAGAAGAGTAAGAAGATCAAGATTGTTAGCAGAAGTCGAAGAAGAATAAAGGCAAGATGTAAATCAGATTCCTGGTACCTCATCGTGTAGCGAGCGAGCGAGTTGCTCGAACACACCCCCACAATTTCTTGAATTTACTGATAGAACCGAGCTGAAACTAAAACTCAGCTCAGTCCTGCAGGTGTGACTGAAATGATAAAAATCGTCTAAAGTGTTAAATGACTTATTATGGAGAAAGGAAGGTAGCTATCAAATTTATCACCTTTTTCTCCCCGGTTACACGAACGTAAGGCTAATTTTCCTTAAAATTCTGTAGAAATCGTGATAAAGGAATAAATGCAAAGATGGTTGGTTGGTCAGGAAGCTCAGTCAACCGCAAATGGAAAGACTAGTTGCTCGAAGCTGGAACGATGTTAAAAACGTTGCATGCTGAATGCAATTTAGCGATACGAAATCAAAATGCAAAAGACGACATTTAACTAAGCGATATTGTTAATTGATTGGTAAGCCATAGTGAGAACAATTGTAAAACATCATGTCGACTCGAGACTCCAGTCGTCTTGCGCCATGTACATTAAAAGGATGATAAAACAACAAGGTTTTAAAAATAACTAAGAAAGGTTAGACAAAAATTTCTGTGAAGAGGGTGTTTTTTTTTTTTTGCACAGTTGATTACAACTGCCTTGAAAACTTATCGACGTTGTGGTTTTAAAGCCAGAGCGCCAATTAAAGGCTTCCACCAACATAATTGACTTTTGCACGAAATAGGTCTTGAATAAATGTAAATTGACTTAGAATAACGAGTAAAAACGAGACTGCGATAATCAAGCTCAAGGTTTACAACGGTCCGGGGCTGAGACGAAATTTCTCCTTGTAACATTTCTTTTTCACATCGTGATCAGTATATTCTTTTTCCTTGAATTAATCAAATAATAACCTTTGCGTGCTCTGTTTAGTAGCTGGAACCTTGTTTTAAGACTATTTAATCGTTTGCATGAAATATTTTATAAACTCTTTATTATTAAACACACAAAGAGTTTGGCCATTAGTGTCAGGTGAGTAGCCTGTGTAGCAAGCGTTTCCGTTTTGTTTCGGAGCAAAGAGAGACTAAGAAACGAGATTTTCGCGCGGTCTTTGACTGTCGTTTCTCGTTCTTAATTTTCTCCGCAACAAAACCGAAACGCTTGCTACGCAGGCTATCAGGTGAGCATAATCTGCGACGTCGACTACACCTTTGGCTGAAAAGTGAAAGAACTAAGAATGGAATGCATGATTCGCATACAGGTAACGTACAAAGCAGACAAAGTATTTTCATTTTTCATTACATCGAAAGCCATTTCTTCTTCAGTTTTTCAAGCGAAACAGACTACTAGGCAGATAACATGCTGGCGGCTCATATATGTCTTGTTTAATTGATATGTAATTTTATTTTCTCGCTTCTGATTGGTTAACGACAACAGCAGAAACTTACTCTAGCAAACAGCTTAGTAACTCGCTGTATATGATAAGAGACTGTCTTTTGTGTTGCTGAAGTACCTATAAATATCGAATGATTTTCATGAACGACGAATATACTGTCATTTCATTGATCAAGATTTGTCAGAGGTAGGAGGTGAGAGGTAGTCAAAGCTTGTTTCAGTAACTATAAAATTCACTTGCATCGAGATGTTAAGAAAAGCCGAATACAAAACCTTGTTCGCTCGACGTAACTTGGAATAACCGTCGCAATTCGTAGTGTGGTAATTAATTTGCACTTTTGTCGTAATTTCTGCTGCAATTTAAAATGAATTGAAGATGCATTTTCTAATCAGCTAAGGTCGGGTTTCCATTTGTTAGAAGTAACCGACTAGACTGGTTTTATTAGTTGTAAGAAGAATTCCACTCAAATTAGGACTATCCAGCCAGACCAAAAGAGAAGAGATTAATTCATTAATGTTAAGTTCGGCAGTGGTAGAATTAAGAAAAAATCTCGAAAAAAAACCTGTTACAGAACTTTATTTTCAAAGGGACTGATCTGGTCTATGAGTAACTGTTCTGACCTTATGAGTTTAAAAACAGAACCAACTCTTGCTTACGTGACTGACAGGTCACGTCGGGCGCTTTCCATTCACTCCCTTTGAAAGTTCCGTAAATTTCGGTTAGAAATCAAAGGGAACGGACCATTTCGGTTCCATCCGACCCAAAAATTTGGCTCTAGTTTGAAGGTGGTCCACTTTGACCGGTCCGCTCATTTCGGTCGGTCGGACCGAAATGTGCCATTTTAATTGACAGTATTGTTGTCCCCAGTACCACTCTTTTGTACGATCAATAACCAAACGCGTGGTGGCTTGGCTTGGGTCGGTATAACCGGAATGTAGAGTTCCATTAGACACGTGGAGCTTCCAACATTTCAAACTGGAATTTTAGTTGAATAGAAAGCGCCCATCCTTTTAATTACAACGGTTAAGTTTGCTCCTTTGACACGCGACAATCCTCATTTTACTACCAACTGTGTTGCGACAGCTCGGTTAATTACCTACTGGGAAAAACATCGAGTAAGAAATTACTAAATTTATGACAAAGAGGATATTTTTGCGAAAAGGGTATTTTTCTTTCCATTTGTAGTTAATAAGAACTTCCCTTAACTGTTTTTGCGGATGGAGACCTGGTTTTGGATTCTTGGCTGGGTTCTTTCGTTTCTTGCCATCGCTGGAAATGGAATAACAATCTACCTCGTCTGCAGCAGAGGAAATCTCCGCACCAAAAGCAACGCGTTTATTGTTTCACTTGCAGTAGCAGATTTGTGTGTTGGTTTGGGCGTTATTCCTTCTCTGTTAGCTTGCGACATTACAAACACCTGCTACTGGCCTAAGATTTTTCCTTCATGGATCGATGTCATAAGGTGGCTGTTTAGCTACTCGTCTGTTTTAAACTTGTGTTCTCTGGTGCTCGACCGTTACATCGCCATCATAAAGCCTTTTAAATACATAACTTTTATGACTCGATCTCGTGTTATTCAAGTGATAACTTCCTGTTGGATAGCGTCATTTACGCTGGTTGCGCTCAAGACCGCACTTCGACTTTGCTGTGAGACCCCTCTGACCAGTATCGTTGCAGTTGCGGTTTTAATGATTTGCATGGAAATCATTCCTTGTATTCTGCAGATACTCTGTTTTGTGTCAATGTTACTTCATGTATGGAAACATGATCGGTCAGCACGCACCCTAGCAAAACAGTTACGTTTTAACCATCGGATATCTTTTAAAACCCATCACGAGAAGTCTGCAGTAATAATGATGGGTATTGTGATAGGAGTGTTTGTTGTGTGCTACGGAATATATTTACGTTGTAGTCTAGTAGTTCTGTCAGACACAAATGCATCATGTAAAGATCAACAATACAAAATTCCTGTCTTGATTTTAAACTCGGCCATTAACCCACTGTCTTATGCTTTTTTCAAAAGAGACATAAAGAAAGAGTTTAGAAGACTTATCGGTCAGGTGGTTTTTAAGAAAAGTAACCAAGTAGAGCCTTCCACTTCAGTACGTTAGATCATTTTTGAAGGACCGAGATCTTAATATTAGTTGGCAGAACTGCTTCTGATTGCGGATTGTGTCAGGCATGGCAGGCGGCAGTTTTGGGGCCGGCAAATCCCTGACGGTTTGTCTCGAATCATAGTTCGGAAGCACTGGTGTTTAAGGAGGGTACAAGAACCAAACGACGATAAGAATACAATCCAGTATATGTCAGATGCTCTCTTGAAACAATTCCGAGGTTTATCAAGCCAACGTCCACAAAACTGGTAGACGAAATTTGTAAATTAAAACATTTTTGTTTCAGACCAAGTGACAGTATTTATTTTTCCTTACTTTATTTTCTAAAATAACTTTTGTAATCAACTCTAGATCTGTTAAGTAGTTTCCTAGAATTTAAACAAACATAGAGTAAACGTTTTTGTTTTCGTGCAAGAAGAGAATTATAGTATTTTTTTTCCTTTCCCTGCAAACTGATGGTTAATTAAGCTCAGTCCATACCAAGTGTGAATGAATTATTCAAAACTGTCGAGCCCGATCTGTATGATCATATTTATGTATGTATTGATATCTATATACAGGCAACATGGACAGTTTTTTCAGATACCCTATGACGCGGCGAAAAGCTATCTTTTTCTTCCTACACAAGTTTTAAAGTAGCTTTCAATTGCCTTAAGTTTAACCGAGAACAGTGGAAGCTTTTGTAAATAATTTGTGATAATAGTCTTAATTTGCAGTATAGTAGCGGATGTAATTTGTCTTTGTCAGTCTGAAATTTGTTTTTCTTGTCTGTTTAAGGTGGCTCGACTGGTTTTTTTTAGGGATTATACTTTTCAAGTTTGAGCATTTACTATGTCGACATTAAAAAAGGAATCGGAAAAAGATTTACCACGGCTGTATTGTATGAAGATGAAAATTTGTTATGATGTATGTTTTATCGACATTTTCGGAGTTACCGTAATGAGGCCATTACGTATTTTACTTACCTTTGTATTTCTCGGTAACAGGACTTTTTCTCAGAAATCGCCTGAGGGAGCTTGTACCTTCCTTCACTGCCTAAATAGTCTAGTGTCGAATTCGTCGCGGCCTCTAAATAGAAGCACTGAAGACTCGTTTAAACAGTGCTAGCCTTGACCTAAGGTAAATATATTCGCAAATTCCAGTCAGAAGAAGACCCGTGTACAACTGTGTCTATTGTTTTAAACTCCAATTCAGGCACCTTCTCGCCCGGTTATTTGAGAATATTTTTCTTTAAATTTGCAAATTGTAAATTGTTATTTGTTTACCCACGAAACACTTAGGAGTTCATGAGAACTCGTTGAAACGTGTCCGTGCGTTCCAGATCGAACTGGAATTTGGAAGTGTTGGTTTTTAAGGAGAGGGGAAAACCCGAGTATCCAGAAAGAAACCTCGCGGAGCAACGGAGAGAACCAACAACAAACTCAACCCACATTTGAAGACGACGCCGGGATTTGAACCCAGATCACATTGTTGGTGGGAGGCGAGTGCTCTCACCACCGCGCCACCCTTGTTCCCCAACTGGCTCGAGGCTAACCCTGTACAAATAAGTCTCCGGCGCTTTTATTCAGCGGCCACGACGAATTAAAACCTAGACTGTTATGATTTCTGAAAAAACTCCTGCTACCAAGAAATACAAAGGCAAGTTAAAAACGAAGTGGCGTCATTGCGTTGCCATCGCAACTCCGATATCAATAAAACATGTGTCATAACAAATTTTCATCTTTATATAGTTAATAACAGCTGTACGTAACATTTTTCTGATATGTTTGTGAATGCTGAAGTCAAAATACTCAAACTTAAAGTTCCTTTTCGGCTTGGTTCGACTTGGTGTTTGCTTTTTCACCCACGAGTTTGTGTTGGTCCATTCGTAAATAGGGTATTCAATTCAATTCAATTCAATTCTTTATTTCACACTATATAAGATATTTACATCAGTGTACGTAGATAGGAAAATGAAGTAGCTGATAAATAATAATTAACTAAAAGACATTAAGTTCATTTGTGTACAGTGTCCAAAATAGCAAGAAATGCATTTTTATTACACCTATCAAAATTTGTCATACTCTTATTCGCCCCACTCAAACGAACGAAAAGATTTTTTCTGTAGACTCTTTAAAATTTGTGGTAAAAGAACTAAGTGTGGGTTGGTTGCAACTTTTGGATAGGGAGGGATTTTGGAAGTTTAGTTTAGTATAGGGTAGAAAAATTCAGCTGAACCAGGAGTAAAGACTAGGTGTCCCAGTGTCCCAACGGCAAATTACCACCCGAAAAATTTCCCCATGGGGAAACCCTAAAAAGAGTAGAGGAGCAACCTCGTCCCCAGGGCGCTTTTCCCTGGCTTTGGAGGTGGGGCGGGAAAAGGCCCTGGCATCGGCCGGTCACATAACCACCAAACAGCCAGAATTTGTGGGTGTACTTAAAATAGCTTATGATCGCATACGATAAACAAAACATCGAAGATGGCGGGTATACCAGAGTTTTTATCAGTGCTTGGCCGGGTCAGATTTTTCCTGAGTAACGGTAACTTTCCATTGCTTAATTTTAAACCTCTTCAAGTAAAATGCTTCGAATCTATCCTGAAAGGCCAGGATATTATTGAAGTGTCTTACCTACTGGATCTGGCAAGTCGATGCTATTTCACAGTACTGTACCGTTCTCGCCTCGATAAAGCCGGAACAACTAACGCTGCTCTTGTAAAAGCAACTAAGCACAAAGCCAACGCGGCAACTAATGAGGTTCGCGTGGAGAACCGAGGCAATGGGACGAGGTTGGTAGAGGAGATGTCCACCGCTGGAACGGTACATTGAAGAACGTTACATCACAAAATTTTCGAAATTAAACGATAAAGAACATTTTTACCTTTATTAGATTCCAAGAATTTATTAAAACATTTTGTTGCTATTTTATCATCAAAACACGAAGAAACGTTAGGCATTTAATATATTATTGTCTTGCTGCAAAGTTTTGTTTTAGCACAGCGCAAGACAAACTATTATTTAATGACATTAATTAGCAAATTATTACAAATAAAGACGAAGTAAAGAACAAATAGAGCGTTTTCGCTCACGTGGCCAGCAACTATACAAATTTATTGGAGCAAAAGAGAGCGTTTACATAAGAAAAGAGTTCATGCAGTCAGCTCCCACAGGATTGGTTGGCACGCCAACAAGGCCGCCGTTTTATTGTTTTGAATACCAATATGGCAGCCGTGACGTCATGTGAAAACGCTCCATACTAACCAGTTGACATGTGTCCGTGATATTTATGCGAGATGTTGGTTATATTCTACAGTTGATAAGAACTTCCTCTAACTGTTAAGAATGGAGACTTGGTTTTGGATTCTTGGCGGGGTTCTTTCATTTCTGGCTATCATTGGAAATGGATTTACAATCTTCCTCGTCTGTAGCAGAGGAAATCTCCGCACCAAAAGCAACGCGTTTATTGTATCACTTGCAGTAGCAGATTTCTGTGTTGGTTTGAGTGGTATTCCTTCTCTGTTTTTGCGACATTACAAACACCTGCCCTTAGCCTGATTATTGGTTCTCGTGGGTGAATATTATAAAGTTGTTGTCTAGTCACACGTCTGCTCTGAACTTATGTGCCTTAGTACTGGATCGTTTTATTGCCGTCGTCTATCCTCTAAAATACATTACCTTGATGACTCGCCGTCGAATTACCCAAGCTATTTTCTTCTCTTGAGCTCTACCAGTTAGTTATAATGCGCTAAAAGATACCGTTTGTCTTGTCTTATTTCAAAACGATACCACCGAGTGTCCTTTTATTTGGCCGACTATAATTTCCGAGTTTCTTCCATGTGTTGTATTAATACTCTGCTTTGTATCAATGATATTTCACGTATGCAGGCATGATCAGTCAGCACGTACCTTTGCAACACAGTTACGTTTTAACCATCAGGTGTCGTTTAAAACCCATCGCGAGAAGTCTGCTGTAATAATGATGGATATTGTGATAGGAGTGTTTCTTGCTTGCTATGGGATATATCCCCGGGGATATATCTACGTTGTAGTTTTCTAATACTATTGTCATCACGATGTGACGATGAACAATACAAAATGCCTGTATTGGTTTTAAACTCGGCCGTTAACCCGCTGGCCTATGCCTGTTTCAAAAGAGACATAAAGAAAGAGTTTAAAAGACTTGTCGGCGCTATTTTTTAAAGAAAATAGCAATTAAGTTAACTAAAGGCGATCTGACTTTACGTGCGTCACTCATTCTTGTAGGATGTAGGTCTTATATGAACGAGTGTGAAAGGCTTGAGCTAAGACTGATAAATCTGTGACGCTTTGGACTCAAAGCGAATTGAAATTTGGAAAAATGGCGCATTAGGAGAGAAAACAAGTCCTCTGGACCCTCAGAGAATATATAATATCAGAGAAAGGACTTAAGATCAAGGTTCACAGGTGGTGTGAGACGCATTTCTTATTGCATGGAACTTTTTATCATGACATAAAGTAATTGTGTACTTAGTTTTTTTTTTTTCATCAAGTGGGTCAAGGTTAGTCTTGATTTTTATCCGCGTGGGTGTTTTCCTGTTTTGATCCTTTGCTTTTTCCTATACTTGAATTTATGCTTAGCTCGCGAATTTACCTATTACCGCCACTTTAGGATATTCATGTACGCTTGTAGTTGTCAGATGGTAGTTTTTCGTAGGTGGTTGTGTTTGTGATGTTACAGCTGACCTTGGTTTACTAGTCTCGTTGAAGTTCCTGTGTTTGGGTTTGTTAACCAGAGTTTTAGTTTTTCAGTGGTTTGTACATTCTTGCCGAAAACAACCACTTAGCTTCTGTCATACCAAAACATTACCCACACCTAGTTCACCGTAATTTTATTCCCACGGTCAGTTAACCCAAACATGTTCAGCTTTGGCTATAAAAACCGCTACTATGCTTGAGCTAAGGAGTAGAAGTTGTTACAAGAACCTAGTAGAAAAGTGGAAGGGTTAGAAGAGTAAGAAGATCAAGATTGTTAGCAGGAGTCGAAGAAGAAAAAAGTCAAGATGTAAATCAGATTCTGGTACCTCATCGTGTAGCGAGCGAGTTGGGCGAACAAACCCCTACAATTCCTTGAATTTACTGAACCGAACTGAAAGATTAACTCAGCTCAGTCCTGCAGGTGTGACTGAAATGAGAAAAATCGTCTAAAGTGTAAAATGACTTATTATGGAGGAAGAAAGGTAAATATCAAATTTATCACCTTTTTCTCCCCGGTTACACGAACGTAAGGCTAATCTTCCTTAAAATTCTGTAGAAATCGTGATAAAGAAATAAATGCAATGATGGTTGGTTGGTCAGGAAACCCAACTGCAAATGGAAAGACGGGTTACTCGTAGCTGGAACAAGGTTAAAAACGTTGCATGCCGAATGCTCGAACCCTGCATCTTCGGCTCGACGCGACTACACCTAACCACTACACCACAGAGGCTGATTACATAATTCTTTGGAAAAGTCTTTCATTTTATTCCTTTTCCATGAGACTTCCGCCGGCAAGATGATCGCCAGCCGCATTGACCGAGCTATTGACAGTGAAAAAACAATGTAAACGCATATTCCACGGCAATGAATGAATGAAAGAACATAATTATGCTTTTCAAGTAGGACACAAAACATATGTTTTGTTATCTCGATTTCCGCTGTTATATTGAAGCGAATGGTCAAATTCACATCCATTTTCGGCTCATACAGTTTCTTAAGAATAGCACTGCATGACATTTTCTCACATCATCTTCTAGCAAGCTGGAATTTGTATATCCCCCATGTTGCGGAGTCGAAGAGCAAATGCTCATCTTCTCGGGTAGTTTCAAAAACGAAGCACTCGAAAACGAAGACCGAAGCACGAAGCACCCAAATCTCGAAAACGAAGCACCCTAGATCGAAAACGAAGACCCCTAAATCTCGAAAACGAAGCACCCAAAACTCGAAAACGAAGCACCCAAAACTGGAAAACGAAGACCCCTAAATCTCGAAAACGAAGACCCCAAAGTCTCGAAAACGAAGCACCCAAAACTCGAAACCACTGTAGGTTTAATAACTGCAACTTTGCGTCTTGCATGACGTAATCCGAATCAGGTGGAGGCAGCGGATGCGTCCGCACCTCCAAAGGTCCACAAAATCCATCTCAAGGTTTTATAAAAGCCTACCAACTATTTAACTGAACGTTTCTAGATAGGATATACTGTATTAATTTTATTATTGGTCTCGCTATACTTGATACATCTTACCTTAAAATGCATTTTTTCGGTACACATACATGTTTATGTAGACTTCAAAACTGTCTGTCAGCAGATTTTGGCGTATTCAAGTACGCGTGAGCAGTAACACGAAAGGTCTGAAACGAGGCTGAAAACGGAGTGTGAGGCTCGCGCGTATTACTCTTACGCCACGCTTTACCGACTTCTTTGCTGATTTTGAGAAAAAACCCGATTGTTTTGCAGTCTAACATATTGGATATCTATGACACTGCGTGATCAGAGCAGATCAGATCCAGGCAGAATTTGTTCTAGTATAGGGTAATAGCCTGGGACCAGGCTCTATGGTGGGGAACAGGAGAATTTTAAAATAAAAGGAGCAAATAAAAAAAGGGAGAGTTAAGCTATTGAGAAGGCGGCCGGTGTGGCGAAGCCTGGAGATATGCTTTTTATGCCACCGATCCACCCTTAACTACACTAATTTGCAAATGGCCTTTAACGAGGAATGGAATGGAAAACGCTCATCATTTTGTACGGGGATACTTGCTGTAATTCCCGATCCCATCCACACAAGAATCAGTACAACTATACTACCGACATTCTGCATTTTTATTTTTGGCAAAATGGAACTGGAAGCTCCCTATTTCTGAAGCCTACCACAGACGCCAAACTTTTTGAGTTTTTGGGTGCTTCGTTTTCGATCTAGGGTGCTTCGTTTTCGAGTTTTGGGGTCTTCGTTTTCGAGTTTTGGGTGCTTCGTTTTCGAGATTTAGATGTCTTCGTTTTCGATCAAGGGTGCTTCGTTTTCGAGATTTGGGTGCTTCGTTTTCGAGATTTGGGTGCTTCGTTTTTGAGATTTGGGTGCTTCGTACTTCGGTCTTCGTTTTCGAGTGCTTCGTTTTCGAAACTACCCATCTTCTCGTCAGGTTTAACACCTGGACGAGTCAAAGGCTCTTGAATTGAAGTCCAATCCCCAAGTTAACCATCGTACTCATCTGAAAGACTCCTGCGTGTCTTAAAATTTGGTAAGATCTCTAACCGTGATGTAGAAAATTTGCCACAAAGAAAACTTTAAGTCTGAGCAGCGAACGATGCACTCTCTCACCGAACTTCCCCGTGTTTTTATTTGAGTTGTTCGTGGCGCAGTGCATTCTGGTTAAATGCAATGTATTGTGGTAAAAAGTGTGGTTAAATGCAACGCATTGTGGTAAAAAGTGATGAATTCGAGAATTCGTCGCCCCTTATATATTTCCTTTAAATCCTGATTATGTTGCTGCTCGCCCCCTTCGGTCGCTCCGCAGCAATAGGGACCTTAAGCATCGACGACGAAATGGGACGACGACGCCGACCGGAGGTGAAATTTTCCCGCGCGAACCTTCTGGGCATGCGTTAGGTTGTCAAAACGTCGTCCAGCCTTCGTCGACGACTGAATCAGAGCAAGTTTTCGCTCTGGTGAAAACGTAAGTAAACAACTAAACTTTTTCATGCTGATAATCGTCTGTTTCCACGTTTTGTTATAATGATTGTTTGATGTATTATTTGCGGACCAGCGAGAGTGAAATGTTTAACAGTTTAGCTATTTTTAACAGACTAAAATGACTTTCTTTCAGAAGCATCCGAAACCATGGCCGGCCACATTTCTACAGCCGAGCAAGAACTCGTTCAAAAGAAATGTAAGTTTTTCTGTACTGATCTCTTCAAGGAGAATTTTGGGATATTTCAAGTCATGTTCCTGTTATTTTAGACCTGCATGTCATTGTGCTAATTTTAAGTTGCACTTCAAAATATAAATCTTCAGTTTTGCTGTAAAAATATATATTTTCGTGTTCTTTTGACAGCGAGCAAGTCCAGGTATTTTGTTTGGACGGAAGACCATGATGTCTTGATGCTTCGCGAAGCTGTAACAAGCGAACCTTACAATTTTAAACCGAAAAGCAGCGAGAGAGGAAAAGTATGGGAAAGCATCGCAACCTTTTTGAATTCTCTGAAGACTCCAGAATTCAGGGTTACAGCAAGGGCAGTGAGAGATCGATATGCACTCCTGATCTCCCGACACAAACTAAAGCAAAGAGAAGAAGAGAAAGCATCTGGGATCGATGTCCCCGAGCTCACAGAGCTCGATGCCTTGCTGGAAGAAATTCGAGAGCGAGAGAAAAGCGCAGAAGAAAAGAGTGACGCCCTGAGAAACGAGAGGAAGGCAAAAGATGAGAAAGAAAAAGCTAAAGCAGAGGAAATCAGACAGGCGGCTCTTCAGACAATGGCAATTAGAAAGAGCGATGATAGTGGCGAGAAGCCAAAAAAAGCTAAACTGAGGAGGAGCACCTCTGA